AAAAAAAAAAAAAAAAAAAAAAAAAAAAAACGCTCCGCTGGATGCCGAGAATTTCGTAATATAATGGTATGAATAGTGATGGATGGAGGCCGAATTGAACAGCGCAATTTGTCTCGATTATCACAGCCATAGTGATACGCGATAGCAGCCACTCCAATGACTCGGTTAGCATTTTGTGCTCCGAGCCTTTATTATTTACCGGTTATTGGTTATTCGGTTATACGCAGATTTATGATTTTACTATAGCTTTGGTCATTTCTAGCTGCGAGAGCGACTGCGCTATGATAACTTACCAATGTGCTAATATTGAGTAATCAAATGCGCACCAAACAGCACGATCGATGTTAACAGTGTCGCCGTATCGTTTCACAATGACCGAATAATTTGCTTCGCATCTGGTAAGCAGCATGCTATGCGGTAATTTAGTCGGTACATCTTGTTGGGTATCGCCCAGAAATATTCAAGCCTAATGGAATTTCGCGAAGTGAAATTCGATCGAGCCGAGCTAAAAATGAGACAGGCACATTAGTAAACGACTTATCACATTTTAACAAATAATTATTAAATCCATAATACTCTTATAAATGAGTACATAATATTGTGAGTTCTCGGACGAATTAATTAGCTAAAGAGATTAAAACCGGCCGTTCACTGAGGCGTCTATCCTGCGTGGAAAATTGCAATCCCATGTATAAACGCTTGAATAAAATTGTGCTGAGAATTGACGAAGGTATTATTTTGCGATACAGAAATGCTCCGACATGAATCTCGCGAATGTCGAGCGATCCATATCGCGTTTAGAATAACGTTTCAAAACAACGCAGCCAACCGCCTCTGTCTCTTCGCCTACGTCTTTTATGTCAACGTAATATAGTAACGTAACACACTCCCACTTTGGCCCTCATGTCCACTCTCGTCACGATAATAGAAAAGTTCGTGCGGTGTATAGATGATAACGTATCGTTGAGGAGCACTGTCCCTTTGTCATCGCCACGAAGTGCTCTCCCACCAACCCGGTCAGTTTTCGTGGTACCCAAGGAAGCTGTTCGAGCCTTCATCTGAGCACCTGACCTGATCGGGCTAGAACGACAGCCAGGAAGAATAGTGATGAGCTAGCGGCATCCGCTCGAACAAGTCGTCCACCGCTATGATGTAACTCGGCTAAACTTTCTCCTGAAACAGCGTTAAAAACACTCACAAGGAAATGCTCGCAGATCCTTCTTCGACATGTCAAAAGCATCAAGAATTCTTACGTTTGCTTAGCAGAGTCCCCCACTTAACTAAAATTTAGTGAATAAATTATAGGTATAATAATAATGCGCTATTTATATTTTTCGGATATTTTGTAAAAATTAGAACAAAAATTATAACGCATAATAATTAAACCAAAAATCATAATGCAAATATTTAAGAACTAAGGCCTTCCACACACGTTCAAGTAAACTTGTCAAGTATACTTGCGCAAGGATTACTTGACAAATTTAGACCGGCCACAATTTGCAAATTTACTTGAACGTGTGTGCCGGCTTAATACAAATATTAAAGTGTACATATTTAATATCTTAGTTTGAACTACCGTAATATTCAAGATTTCTCATAATTAATAGAAGACAACAAAAGGGCTTACTGCAACAATGGGCTGTTCCACAACATAGTTGAAGATAACTAATATTGGTATAGAAAGGATAAGTGACAGAGTTCTCTATTCGTCAATTAAGAGAAATAAATTTTCGGTCGAAGTGGATCTAAGGGCGGTATTCATAGTATCTTACTCAAGTCGATCTTGAAATAAGAACAGATTATGAATATCGGCCTTAATGTTTAAATATTTCAGAGTTTATATATGTACATATATGAATTTATATGTGTACATATCCATTGCAAATCATGAGTTTAAATCTTTTTCGGGCTTAAAATGCAATCATAAATAAAATCAGAGTAGTGACATTACATATTAAATTGACAAGCAATTTAATAATTTTGATGTTAATGAGTATCTTAGAAGAATTTATAATTTAATGCTAATCTAAACATTTTAAGAAGCTTTGGCAGTAAGTCCTTTTGTTGTCACAATAATCAGGAGATTCAAAAGATCCGAATCCCGGCTAAAATACAATAGTATTTCTCGCAATAAATTAAATTATTCACAGTTTTTAAGATGCTTATATATAGATTAGCATCGAATTACAAATGTCCTTCTAATAATAAGATACTTATTAGCATCAAAATTATTATATTGTCAGTTTAATATGTAATATTACTATTCTAATTCTGTTTATAATTGAGTTTCAAAACCGAAAAAGATTTCGCGCGGTTTATAGAATTGGATATGTACATAAATTCATTTTAAAATTTAAGTACTAAGATCCGCTTTGACCAAAAATAGGTTTATTTCTGTTGATTTATTCTTGTCAATATTATACGAATTATAATTCCTCTGTTCATTTCGGAAGTTAAACTCACTATCATTGTTATTATATTTATGCAGTGATTCATATTTTTTTTATCACTGTAATGTAAAAATCTGAATAGAGAAATTTTATTTTTTTCATAATATTTCTTATTCACAATTTGCAATCTGTAATAATAACATTTTTGAACAATTTTTGAACATGTGTCAAAATATGAAAGTGTTCTTGTAACAATATGTAAATAAATGCATATTACCCATCACTTTAACTTTAGAGTTTATTTTCTTTGTTTTTACAAAATATATATTAGTTCGCCGTTGCAGGAAGTCCTTCGTTTAACGATCTTACAACAACAATGAACGAATCTTATTTTATAAAGACACAGAAAATGAATAAAAGGCTTTATCATGCATCAATTTCAGTATCACATGTTTAACTACATTGTGAATTAGCCTCTATTACGGTTGCAGTAAGATCTTCAATGTGAACATTTTCTCGTCAAGCAGTGTAAGCTTCGATCGAATTTAAACGTGTTTGAGTAAACATCAGCTTGTAATGAAAGCCGGAACATAATGCAAGTATCAAATGGTGCTTTCCAGTAAGCGATACTGTGTGACATAGTGATCATGTCATCTTTGTTTAACATTGGCAAACAACAAGGATGTAATAATTCACTGTTACACTGTGTTATCTGTGTCTCTTGCTGAAAAGCACCCAAAACATCTTCTACAATTTAGTCCCAATTGAGATGTGTTATCGAGCCTGTATTAAGCACCACAGGATAATCGAAATGACATTTGCGTGAGTCATGTTGTAATATGAGGTTCCTGTGGGATCGTGAATTCCCTGGCATTTGATTCCAAGTGAAGTCGCAGACAATCGTATATGTTGAAAGATGTTTGAATTTATGAACGAACTATTTTTGCACGCTGCGCGAAGTGAGTCTCCTCGTCATCGATATCGTGTCATGGCGAAATTCTGTGTTATCTTTGTGAAATAGAAATGTCCCTACTATGATACATATCTTTATTTCTAACCTTCTGTTGAAAGGAAAATAGAAACAATTGGAACAATCTTGTTAAAGAAACGAGAAAATTATTCTATTTATTATGGAGGTTTCGTAACAAGAATGTGTAAGTAATAGCATCCCAAATTTAAAATAAAATGATACTTCTTTGACAGATTATCATTACAAAAATCTAATACTGGCCAATTTGATATCGAAAGACAATAATTAATTATTTATTTTGAACAATAATGCTTTTAATATTTTAAATTTTAATACTTTAAACATAATACCAATCAATTTAATACTAAAAGACTGTAATTAATTATTTATTTTAAGTATTAAAAGCATTGTTCAGTGTAATTAAATATTGTTTTTTAGTATTAAATTTTTGTAAGAATTATAAGAAAAATAATAATAAGTAACAAACATATAATAAAATAAAAAAGTTATAGAATCTTTTACAAGACTTTTCCTTTGTCTTAGGAAATGTCATACGAGTTTGATAGACAGAGATTAACTTGGAAACCATAATGCGTAAGTCACAACATCAAAGCATTTGTGCAAAGTTTGTCTGTATAGTCAGAAAACTCAACTTGCGTACTTAGTTTCGTCGCGAGTTCCTATGCGCAAGCGTTTTAAGAAGATCCTTTATAACAAGTTCCGACATGCGAACTTTCTCGTAGGAGTCAAACATCAAGAGGACTTTTAGGCGCATCTGCGCGAGCGCAGTTCAAGATAAATATTAAATATTTCAAAAGCGTATACTTCGGTAATAAATAGCCGAGTCTGCAGCTATTACACAGAGAGAGAGTTATACTGAGTTATAAGCAAACGTTTCGGCTTTTGTAATAGGAGCAAGCGCGAATACCGCGCATTGGTGAATGTTGTGAATTCGTCAATTACTTAAGACTTGCAACACAATTCCCTTCTAACTGTTATCAAACTGTTCCGTATCGCGTTAACTAGCAAAATCGTAGCAATTCGTTTGAGACAAGTTTTCATAGGCTGTTCCAAAACTAGATTAAATTTCGACGATAAATTTTTCGAGACAAATTTCAACTCCAAATTAAATAAAACGCGTGTGCACACACAAAGGTAGTACAATAGAATTCCTGTACTATTTAAATATCGTTTAACTGAACATTCGATCGTTCGAATAGCGTCATCAAAGAAACGAAAATAAACATTTCACGTGTTTCAGTATAAACAAGTACGTTTAGTTACACGACGTGCTCTTAATTTATAGTAATCTGAATTCTACAAAGGTATTTGCGAAATGTAAAATGTTATGTATGCCTTGCGTAAGTAAATTGATTTTTACAGGCATTTTGAAGTATACGCTTCTGTGAAATAAATTTCACGATAGCAACAGAAAGCTGCAAAGATAGTTAAAAAATTAATAGAAAAACAAAGAAAATGGAATGAATAATAAAGAACTGACTGTTAATAGTCCTAACTTTTTTGTTGCCTTTACAAAATATCGTATAATAAGTAGACTTTTAAAATATTATTTGCGATTGATTATTACATAGGATATAACGGTACAATTTGGATAACGAGGCATTTTGGAAAGTTCAGATATGCTTGTTAGCTACGGGAAACGCCGCCAAAAATGCGAGGTGTGGTTTCATGAATAATGTGTTAAAGCTGTAGGAAGAAAGTAATTTATTTGCGGTCGTTGTTTTTAGAATATCCTCTTAACTTCAAGTTTTTACATTAGAAAGTCTTATTCTATATTTTTCAAGAAAAATTTCGAGTCTTTTTATGAATATTCGTCTTTATCAATATCTATAGATATTGTTTCAATAAAACTGAAAAAGTGCCTTATTTCATATATTATTAATTATTATGATTCAAATTGTCTCAGCCCTATTTAATTTTATTTTCAAATTTTCTTCGTATGAAAATTTAGCGGACAAGTTGGACAGTTTACTTTTAGTGTAACGACATATATTTTGTATCTGATGTTACTGTCAATATGTACAGCGATAGTAAATGTTTTATACATTTGATTGAATACTATGCGACTCCCCCCATTTTTTTATATACAATTTGAAATTTATATATTTTCTATATTTATATATAATAAATTTTTATTAAAAATATTTATATATAATAAATTTCTGTATTTATTCAAATTT